GCATCGTGGCCAAGTACATTCCGACTCTGGAACAACGGGCCGACATTTTCACTAAGGGTCTTCCGGCTCCACAGTTTGCGGTCATTCGAAAGCTCCTCATGGGGTGGTAATTTACCTCAGCGCTTTGCTGGGGACTCTCTCCTATCGTTTCTTGCGACAGCTTCATTTCAGCTGTAAGGGAGTGCGACGGGATACAGCTTACAATTCAGCTTTACAGCTTTACTATTTGCAGGCCTATTCTAGAAAATAATCAATAACTGCTCACTTATTTGGAAATACAAACTTTACATCTCTTAGATCTTTAGATTAATCAATGCACAATGGTATTGTCGCAACCAGTGAGCAGGGAGCTCAGCGAGAGACGAGGCACGGGAGGACTGAACGAGTCTAGTCAGGTCCTCATTGCCGAGGGCGTTGGTGACTGGGTGTGCTCCTGCTCGCTGTTGGTTCGCTCCCGCAGGCTTCTTGCTCGGCGGCTCGGGAGCGGGCTTGAAGAACGAGTACCAGTGCGCAGGGAGCTCAGCGAGGGACGAGGCACGGGAGGACTGAACGAGTCTAGTCAGCGTACCAAAGTTGGGGGCAGCAGCGCCCGGGTTTAGGATAGCTTCGTTGACCCACAGAAAGTAATCTTGTTGGGCCTCGAAAAGGATGCGACCACACAAGTCCACCGCCACACTCCGGTTGTCAGCATGCAGGCCATGGATGGTGTGGAGGTAGGATCCCAGCGAGAGGGCCACATCACGCACCGAGCGTGAGACGGGATGGTTTCCTCCATGGAAGACATCTATCATGATGGAGAAACCATAGAGCTTTTCCTCCGCAATGCGACCATCGGTGGGAAACTTGACGTCGGTGGAAGTGATGGCAATGGCATCTTCCAAGGTGACGGAGGCTCCCTTCTCAACGTACTCCGCTCAAGCAGCCAAGTCCTGGACTGCCTTCGCTTCCGAATGGCCTTGGCACACCACTGAGAAGGGGGAGAGGCCTTCGCCCAAGGTGGGCTCTTGACCGTTCACGAAGTACTTGCGGAAGACACGATCCAGAATGTGTCCAGTGACCAAGGGTTTGTTCGCGAGGTTGATGGGCAGTGCCGAAGCCTGAGTGCGTTCGTCCAGTTGAGCTTAATGGTGCTGGTGGAGGCTCTGGCCCACCATCCAACACTACCAGAAGGTTTCAACCCAAGCAAGACAGGGATGCCTACAAGGAGTTGACCAGGACCAAGCATTTCACCAACTGGTTTGTCCACACAAGTGTGACCTTGCGGGCACAAGGCCTCCTCAGAGTGATTGATGGTACCTATGAGCCACAATCCCCGGAGGACAAGGCTGAATTGGACAGGATGCAGGCGTGGTTCTACAGTGTCCTCTAGGAGAAGGTCAAGACTGAAGTTGGCAAGGAGATCGTGGAGAGGCACTTCAATGATGTCAATTGCCAGGCCATCATGACAGCACTCCGTCTTGATGCACATGCTTCCGTGGATGGAAGGTTGGAGCAGGCTGAACTCTACAGCTGGCTCACCACCACCACCTTTGCACCTTCCAAGCAAGCCGCTCTGGACTTTATTGTCAAGTTCAATCGGAACTTCAAGAGGTACAATGACGCCGTCAAGGCCAAGACTGAGCGCATCACTGAGGAAACCAAGAAGACACTACTCCAGCGTGCTCTCTCCGATGTGCCATTGCTCCATGCAGTCACCTCCCGTGAGATTGAGCGCATGACCTTGGAGCACAAGCCCGGTTACAACTTCGAGGAGTACTACGAAGTTATCAAGGTGACTGCCGCTAGCTACGACAGGAACAGGGCAACGTCACGCCGTCGGTCTGTCAATTGGCATGACATTGATGGTGACAACTGTGATGGTCCAGACATTGAGGCCCCAGCTGATGGAGACATTGATGCATTCAATGTCAATATGGACCCAACCACCCGGTTGCCCGATGAGTTCTTCCGCCAACTCCCACGTGAAGACAAGTCCATCTGGCACCGGCTGTCCCCCCAGGCCAAGAAGATCTTGATGGAGTCATCCCCACCCAAGCCTGGTCCACCTGCACGACAGGCTCACCTTTCTGAAATGGTAGAGCAGGATGAGGAGAAGGATCGCCCTGAACAAGTGGATGACACACTACCACCCACCATGGAAGCCAATCAAGCACAAGCCAAGCCTGGAGCTGGTCCATTTGGTTGGTCACAATGATTAGTAGGTGTTATTTTTCTACTGCGCCGAGGGCTTGCTTTTACTTCACTCAGAATGACAGGGGGCACTACTGGCCCCCTGTTCGAGTAGAAGGGTTATGGGCTCGCTAAGGCCCCTAAAGATGTTCCATACAATTGTGGTTTCTTTGGGAATGCACGCTAAGGCCTTCCTTGGGGTGTGGCACGCTAAGGCCATGTGCTAATGGTGTCTTTGAAAAGACGGATTGGGTTGGTTCTGAGGTGGTTCAAGGGAGAGGTGATGGAGAAGCTAGAGGCATCCTGTGGCACACCACTGGTAGAGTCTTGAATTCCTTCTGTCCTCAGTGATTTGGTGGGCACGTCTAGTTTCTCTAGCTATCGCGGACAGTGTGCAGCCCTTGAAGCCAGGACTGTTTGTAGGACTTTGGTTTTGTGAGAAGGGAAATGAGTGAGTGTTTGAAGTAATGGTGATAACAGGAGGGGAGTCCCCTGGTACCCTTGATGTACTCATTGGCAATTGCTTGGTGTAACAGGTTGAGGGCTTGTTTCTGGCGGGGCTTTTGGTCATCGTGTAGAATCTTGTTCCGATGTTCCCATAAGCTCCAAGCCATCATGTGAGTTTTGCGAAGGATTTTGGAAGTCCAAGTGGTACCAGTGATGGAGTATCCCTCTCGTCTGGGTTACTCGGCATTTTGTCTATTTAAGGCTATTCTATCTGATTACAGAGTTGCCTAAATGTTCTATGCTCCTTTGTAAAAGTGGCTTATGTCTCACAATGTCTCCGGATGTCTCACAATGTCTACAAATGTCTCACAATGTCTCCAGATGTCTCACAATGTATCACTTTGTCTGCTAATGTCTACCAATGTCTCACTTTGTCTACACAGTAAAGTAAAACAGTACAAAAATGTCTCACTTTGTCTACCAATGTCTCACAATGTCTCACAAGGTCTCACTTTGTCTACCAATGTCTACCAATGTATCACTTTGTCTACTAATGTCTCCTAAAGTCGCACAATGTCTACTTTGTCTACTTATGTCTACTAATGGTGTGTAGACATTTACATAAAAATCACTTTTAATCGCCAAAACACTGCAAACAGACAAAATGCCGAGTAACCCTGTAGAAGGAATCCATATACTGGGCAAAACGAATGGAGGGTAGACCTTCCAAGAATTTCTTCCATCCGATCTGGTCTTGGGAGACGATAAGTTGAGTAAGGGTGGCATCCCACTGGGGGTTGGGGAGCAATGGGAGGGAATTGCGCCAACTGTTGAGGCGGTCAACCAGTGCTATGTGAAGGTCAAGGGGGGGGGGGGTGAAGCTCCCCAAAAGCAGAAGCCAGCTCTAGCAAGTGAGCGCTCCATACTTCATCAGATCCCTCAGCATGACATCGTAGGACATGTGTAGTGTCTTCTGGTGCTCCGCAGCGTGGGCAATGGTCATCGTCCTGTTTTTGCCAATGTTTAAGGGTAATTCCCACTCCACAATTCTCAGAAGCGTGTTTGGTACACCACCTGCGCATGCCCAACGGTAGAGTTTTCATCAGCTTTCCGCATACTTCCCAGTCGACTAGCTGGAATGCTTCAGGGGACAGTCTTGCAGGGGCAAGATAGTGGTCGGAAGTCCAGTATTCTTCAATGTCAGGGAGGCAGATTAGGTCCAACAACGCCTGTCGGTGTGGTGATGCAAGTTTCCGCTGATTGTGCCAAATTGACCAACCTTCTCCTCCGATGAGGTGATGGGAGGGAGACCCAAATGGGTTCGCATTGACAATGACAGTCCAGTACTCTTTGGCTTTGGCGTCCATGCGCACGTTGAGAGCTTCAAGGGGGCTCAATTCGTGACCTGCGTGGTCATCCATATGCCCGTCGATGTGTTCCGTCTCAAATATCACATGGCTTTGCTGGATGTGCATCCATAGGGCATGGGTCAAGTTGAATGATTGGTTGTTGGGGTCTGGGATGACCCGTTGTCAAACACCAGTAAGGTGGATGAGCTATCACATCCAATCTTAACCTTCCCTTCGGTGATCCCAAAGAGGTCACAGATAAGATTGGTAATGATGACGATCGCAAGTAAGCCAGAGAGTTCACACCGGTAAGAGTCACCGTCATGTAAGGGGCCTGGAACGATGTTGACACTAGTCAATTCCATTGCTGGGTTTGTGCCTACTAGGATAGACGCGGAGGTGCCAATTATGTTCTTGAGAGAACCATCGCTCACAGCCACACAGGTTCCTTCACGGATGCACTCAGCAAGGTGTTGCCCTCCATCTGAGACTTGGAAATGACCGATAGCCCATTTTGAGTCAGGAGGGAGGTGTGTGATGAGGCTCAGAAGGGTATCAGTGGGATGTGGTGGAGTTGGTGGGAGGTATATACCGGTGTTCCTAAGCAGAAGTTGGGTGGAGTTGTTCCCTCGAAGGACACTTGCCCTAATGATGTTGGTAGGAGTATCAAGGGCTGTGATCAAGCCATGCTGGTGATAAGTGGATGGTGATAAATGATGTGGCTCCCAAAGGGTGGTATTGGTGGCTGTGATGTGGTAGAGGTTTGATGATTCTGGGTGGAACCACCATTCCCAAAGCGGGTCCTGATCGCAGAGCCAAGCACCCAAGGGTTTGAGCAGTTCTTTGCTGCGGGATCCAGGGATAATGTATACCTGGGTCAATGCTTCACGCCATCTATCACCCATGGATGGGGTTGGTTGTCGGGAACGTGGCCAATCAAATGCAGACTCACCGGAGGGAGGGTCCCTGTTTAAGGCATGTTCCAGCATGTGCCTCCCATTTGCAGTACATAGGTCTGATTTCCATACAACTTGCTTGTACATCCTGATTTGGTTGAACAGTCTCAGCTCGTGAGGGCCAAATAGGTTACTTGCAACAAGGTCATCCATAATGGTAGAATCTTGTTGTCGACCTGGGGAGAGTGAGGGGGTGGGGCGCACAAGAGTAAGGTTGACAGAGCAGAGGTCACGCCAAGTTGTCACCATCCAGCTGGGGGTGACAATGTGTTACCACTCAGAGTATTGCAGTTCCCAGAATGGTTTGGAGGAGCCAATTTCTAGTGTGAGATCATCCACATTTGTGTTCAAGAGGCTATTGGTGAGGGTCTTCCTGCCATCATGGCGCATTAATGCATGGACATGCTCAATAAGTTGCACAGCCCAAAGATCATCCACACCCAGACCTTGGTATTTGAGAGGACCGTACACCAGAGCCCTGGGGAGCTTGTTCTGGACCTTAATTTTGTGCAAGGCATGAGTGAGAATGGGAGCCATGATGTGTGAGCATTGCTTTTTGGACAGGGTGGTAGCCATCAAGGGATACTCCAAGGATTTCATGATGGTGCTGTTGAGGCAGTACCATGAGCCATTCTTGTTGACTTTCTTGTCCCTCACAGAACTAGCCCACTGTATGGCTTGTTTCCTCGTGTACTTGACTTGGTCAGACATGTTGCCACTGGGACAGGAGAAGATACCAAGTGCTTTCTGGGCCTTGTGTACAGAGAGTCTCTTTATGGGTTGACGGGTACCAGTGTCGTCATCTTGGAGGAGTAATTGACCAGGCAGTTCGGAGGGGGATTTGTAGGTCCATATTCCTTGAACACATTTGTAGTCTACGCCCCAAAACCAACTCTTCTTGTAGTCAAGTGCACCGCCAGTAACTCGAAGGAAGGAGTCCCAGTGATCAAGTACATCCTGTGCTTCAAGCATGACTTGCCTTCCCTTTGTGTAGTTGTCAGGCCCAGAATGAACCAGGTCAGTGTCATCTACAAATTGGAAGCATACCAAGTTCACCAGGTCGTTTCTAATTGCAGACCAAGAGGCATAGCCAAAGCCTTCATGTCGCATGGCATCGACAATGACAGATGCCACTGCTGCCCAGCCTGTGTTGGAAGCACCATTCCCTTGGAGGTAACCTTGGTTTGGATGGGTATGTCCAGAGGAGTTGTAGAACAAGTCAGAGTCACCAAATGCTGTTCTGATGTAGTGATCCATTTGTTGAATGTTCTTGAGCATGGAAATCAGGGGTTTCTTGGGGATCCCCAGTCGGCGCAAACAAATGTAGGCTACATTGTGAACCACCCTATCAAAACATCCTTTTGCGTCATTGGAGATGACCACCATTGACTTTCTCCTGAATCTTGAATCGTCGCCAATCAGAGTGTTGTTCAATGGCGCCTTCCACCTCCATTCTCTGGGCTCAGGAGACCAGCGGCTTCGCCGTTCCTCATTCCTTCCTTGCCAATTTTCTTGTAGTTGATATTGCAATCAGCTTCAAGCATTTTGACATTCCTCATTTTGTGGGCCCGTCTATCGCCGGAAGACTTCAATAACATGGAATCAATCCCAACTTGCCATCTCTTGTAGTTCTCACCAGTCTGGTACATGACGCTTCTTCGAGAGGCATCAAATGCCGCCAAGTCAGGGTCCATGGCTTGAGCCTTCAGCATCCCAAAATGGATGCCTGATTTGCCGCCTGTGGTTTTTTCTTTCTGGTGTTTCCAGCCCTGGACATGGTCTTCAGTTGTCACAATTGGCTGGCTTTGCGGGACGGTCACTCCAGGAGGGATCTGCATCTTGTGGATGAGTTTCTTGGAGTATTCAGAGAGTTCAGGAGGACATTGATAAGTGCCGTTGAGGATCTGCTCAGCAGCAGCTGAGTCGCCGATGTATCCCAGATCAGATAGGAGGGGGTCCTTCATGAAAGGTGAGTTTGTACACTGTTGGTATTTGTTGGAGTTGACTTCCAGCATCACTTCTTCAAGTGCATCTTTGGTGATGCATTCAGTGAGGACTTCTTCATTGCCGATGATTTCAGATTTCAGGCAAGAGGTGACAGCTCCACCTTGTTGCTTGTCATTGATGAATCTACTGATGGCACCTTTCCGTCTGGAT